AAAATAATGACAGAATAAGTTAGAAAATTCCTACTAACCTCTGGTTCGGAACATGGCCTACGATATAACAGACACCGCACATTGTCGATAAGCCGAGAATAAAAAGTAGAATCCGAATGGGTACCAAGACCAGATACCGGAATAGGAAACCAGCTGCCCATAGAAGCGATAATTTCCAGCTGAAAACACAAATAGAACTAGTTAACTTACTAAACTATATTTAAAACTGGTTGACTGCCAAAACACTCAAAAAGCCCTGCTATATAAAATGTACAAAGTAAAGTCATGAAACTGAAATTGATACAATCTATTTGCAACTTCGTAACTGCCTTCTCCACCAGGCCCAAAATCGACAGGAAACTAGTGCATGCACTAAACTAAAACTAACTTCATAAGTAAAAGAGGAATGAATGGAAAGAGTTCGACAGTTGGATGATGCCCAAAATCACGGCCTCCATGCCTAGGAGCAGCTGCACTGTAATTTCATCAAAGGATTGATTTAAACGAGCGATTTCTAAACTCCATATTTACATAGATGGTTTATACTCGTGATGTTTGAACTCCGCGTCGCTTGCCTCATCCTCTTTCCGGCTCATCTGTAAACATGCGCCGAAACAATATTCATTACAACTGAGCGGACAACTCATCAATCCTCGCTCGTTCATAAAAATACCGCCCCTTCATATTCGACACGCCCCCTATCTGGCACACCCCTCATGGACGGTGGCAGATGTCTTCGCTAGCCTCATCGAAGCTCGAACTGTCTCAGTTCCAATAATCCTCGCTGATCAGTACGTAATCGAAGACGGTCTCGAAAACTCTAACTTCAAGAAGCAAATCGCCGTTTCACTACCACCGACAATCTCCAGAACTTTATGTCTAACTGATAAGTGGTAGCAAAACTTGGTAATGACCGATAATGCGACATACTTGATGTACTGAAACGAATATCGTGTCCTCGTAAGGAGGTTCCACGACGGTAACTGCTCAGCCCGGAATCGACTTGTCACTTGATCCTCAATTATAGCTTCAATACCAGCCTGGAACAGAAATGAAAATGCAAGTTCATAATAACCAACTAATACAAAGTACTTTGCTTTATCGATCAAGCCATACCTACCGCTATAAAGTCGATACTGTCATCAACCACAACGCTGACAGTTGTTTGTCGACATTCAGGCTCATCAGTTGAATGAAGTTTTGAATCGACCAAATCAGATTTTTCACGATGAATGATACCTCCAAAATATAAAGACACGTTCTCGTCTATCACTAAAGTGCTATATATTTAAGTGAACATTAACATTCGAGAGTAACTGGTAGGAAAAATACAAAGTAAGTCAAAAACACACCAAGATCACCCGATGAGTGCCGTTTTTTTATACGGAATGGTGGTGATTCTGCAGACGTGCCTGATTCATTTTCGTCTTCCAGATATTCATAACCATGCGTAGTTTGGGCACCCCACTGAAATAAGTTATACGTTCTTACAATAATGATATTACAACATGTAAATATCAACGTCATACAGAAACCTCTTCATGAGTGTAAAAAAAAACCCTCGCACTTTTGCCAATAGCTGACAAAAATTTAAATAAAATATAGATGCTGCATTTATCCCAACATATAACTCGAAAGAAAAGCCTTGCTGTGAACAAGTCACGGTGCTAATTATTATGCACCGTTCGCTTTAGCATTTATGGCAGACATAGCCTCATCAAACATAAAAAAATATTATCAAACATTAACAATTATCAACATTTAACATGAAAAGCATCCCTTCGCACGTGTTTCGAAGTGGGTATTCATTTGCACCACATTTGGTTAATCCTCGGTAGTAAATTTACCCCTTTAAAAAACGACCAATCAACCCCAGTGAACAAAGTAAAAAAGTTTAAAACTTTAACAAGTTTAAGTTGCAAATTTTTAGGTTCCAATCTTTGATGTTCTGAAAAGTTCCAAATGGCTAATGTCTCGAAAAGTCAATTGCGCTAGATGAAATTGAATGAAATTGGCATATGTGATTGATAGCCATGATTGGAAGTGAAGGACACAGGCCCCAATGGATACGGTTATAGCGACCACCGAAATCTAAGTACATGATGAATGGCCTAACATTCCGTTTGAAAAAAGCGGAAAGAACGAACAGCGAACGCTTCGTTTCGGTTGTTCGACTCTGTTGATAACAAAGTGTGCAATTTATCTATTTTAGAAAAAGGAACAATTCAAAAGGGGTTGAAGTGAAAGACGATGCTCTAAAAGAATAAAAACGCCGAATAATGATAACTAACTGTGACACCAACTGAAAAACATTTAAGTCTTCAAAACTTCCCAATATTGAAAAAAGAATCTACGCCAACCTCCAAACTTACTACATCACCTGCAGATTCACAAGCTAAAATCGTTCGCTTACCTTATCCTGAACTTTATTAATACTTACTCATTACGAAGCACATACGAGTGGTATATAAAAAGGCACTCACTGTTTAAAAAGCTGAAGATTCATGACTAATAATAATAATAAAACCTAACTTTAAAAAAGGAAGGGGCGATTTTGGACATGCACAAGGGACAGGTTTAGGCTCCCATTTAAACTGATCCAGCTACATGGGTTGCCGCAAAACACAGGATTAACACTTGAGCGACATTGGTGACTACAGGGAATCCACCAGTCGTAGAAAGGCTAAGCACATGACACCAATGCTACGCTTACTAGCAACACTCCCAAGAAAAGAATTCAGAACAAGAGTGCCATCGCCTTAACTGTAGCAAAAGCAACCATGTTTTTATAACATGGTTAATGGAAACAAAAATGTCAAGATGATTTCAAGAATTAACAAAAGCAAAATATTGAAATGGGCCACAGATATGATGAAAATTCAAAAAAAAGGCATTCATACCAACACGTAAGCAATGCTGCAGTGTTACCTTTATGGGAAAAAGGAAAGCACAAGTTACAACAAGCAAATCGAAGGCGAAAACGCTTGAAAATATCCACAGATATATGTGAAGAAAGGAAGAAAACCCTTAAACAGGGAGCGTGGCTGCTTTACAGTAACGGCACTTACGCTATGGTGGAATAAAATCTTAGAAACCGCACAGGCCGATTAGCTTGAATATTTTACAAACTTCATTATATCAAAAGTATTATAGAGTAAAAAGTAAGTAAAATAAAATATATGACAAAAAGTAAATCAAATAAATAGTAATAAAGTCTACATATTCAAAAACAAACCTCAAATATCCGTGTTAACCCTTCAACAAACAATTCTCGAATTCCTAGTGTTCCACCAAATGATGCGACTACGATGACTAGTAGTACTGTGATTGTTACTGGTGGAAAAAACATCAGAAATAACCACGCCACCATGTTCTGCAAACAAACAACCGATTAATGACGAAATAAGTCGACTTTTCACATCAATAACGAGCATGAACACTCAGTTTTAGTTGGTAAAAAGCAATAATAGCGAGCAATAAAAGAGCTATACATGAATAACCAATAATTGGAATAAACGACGATAATTCAGACATCAGAGGAAATGAGGACGGATGACGAAGGCTTCTCATGCCCACTGCTCTTTATTGATCCCAAATAAATCCACAACGTAAACAATGTTTTGTTGCGAAGTCACTTGGGATTAATAAGTCGATTTCTTAGGGATTAGAAAGAAAACTATGAAAATCTATTGGCAGATAAAAATAAACAGAAAAAGAGGCTTATAGACTCTGCACAGCGCTACTGAATTAAATTAAATTGAGCGGAGCGAAAACGATAAAATCGAGTCCCCCACGATTTGAGAGAAATTTGGTAGGAAAAGGCATTAAAAAACTGCTCCAAAACGAGAATGTGATATTTTCGAAATGATTTCGCAATTTCTAGCCATACACAATGCTTTTCGAAACTTTTCATATCGAAGCATTACTCCGTGGTAACAATACTACTCTATTGATGCCAAGGTTTGGAAGGGTGAAAGGCACCAGCCAGGTGAAACCAGAACTAAGCGTTGATGTTGAAAAACGCGGTTTTATTCTTTTATTCTTCCTTCTATTCCCACCCCAGTCCTCTCCTTGTCCCTTTCACATCCGGAGGCTGATTCACAACTATTCAATTCGCGCCCCTTTCTCAGCTAAGCCGTCTCAGTGAAGGAAATGGGCCGGCTCAGCCCAACCTCATTTACACCCTTATAGCCCCTTACGTACATCATCATCTTGACCACCGTCCAGCTGCTATACCCTCAAAGGGCCAAATGGCACCAGTAACCTGTATCAACTATTGGAGC